GCAGATCATCAAAAGGAACTATGGGTCTATCTCGTTTCCTTTTGCCTGTTACAAACAAATGCACGAAGACATAATACCCTGACCACCTTGTGGTGTAGGGTATAAAAATAGAAATTTGTTTATTTGAAAATTAAGAAATGAGAACGAGGTTGGTATGGGAAGATGAGAAAATGTATTGGGGGGATATTGCATTTGCATGAAATTTCCATTGGCTATAGTTTTCATTTGCCCATTCCAAAGGCTGGTTTATGCATTTTGTTAGTCATGTATAAAGGGCCTTTTTCACATTTATATTAAGCATTTTTAGAGCCTACTTTTAGGCGCTCCATACAATTTTTACACCTTATACCTCAAGGTGGTCAGGGTGTTATGTTTTTGTGCATTTCTTTGTAACAGCCAAAAGAAATCGAGATAGACCTATAGTTCCTTTTGATGATCTGCATAGAATCACATTCTGAGTCGATTTATGCATGTCCGTCCGTCCGTATGTCCATGCATTTTTGTAAACAAACTACAGTTTGCATTTATTGTCCTATCCAGATGAAATTTTGCACAGATCATTTGTTTGGCCCAAGGACGAAACCTATTGAAATTGGAGATAATCCGTCAAAATTTAGATATAGCTCCCATATATATATCTTCGTCCGATTTGCCTTTTATTGTGCACCAAACGTGTAATAACAGCCCGATTAGTATGAAATTTTGCACATACATCTAAATTAGGCCTGAAAATAAGTATTCCAAATTTTATAGAAATCGGTTCAGATATAGCTATAGCTCCCATATATATTTGTTCATCCGATTTGTTCTTTTTGTCCTCCGCAGCCGTAATATGCACTCTGTAACAACAATATTTGGGGAAATATATCAAATACAGCTCAGAAATATATTTGCCAAATTTTATCGAGATCGGTTCAGGTTTGGATATAGCACCCATATATATCTTGATGTTATCTAAGTTTGAGGTTAGGCGATGGATTGGAAATGAGTCCCATAATTGTACGAAAAATACTAAATGGTACAAATTTTGGTATTGGGTGAAAATACAGAGCTGGAATCCCCACATTAAGTATTGGGTTCGCTATTGGTATCTGAAATTTTGTACTATAATTATACGAAAAGTACTAAATAGTACTAAATTTTGACACTGGGTTAAGGGATGTAGCTGAAATTCCAGAATTTGATATGGATGTCATGGTCGACGCCTGGGATTGAGGGAAAGAGATGGTTTTGGAAATTCGTACTATGAACATATGAAAAGTGCAAAATGTGCCAATTCGTACTATAAATGTACGAAAAGTGCAACATATGCCATTGGATGTGGGTGTCTAGGGTGAAGAGAATGATTCGGTTTTGAATTGAGAATAGTTCATAGGATAGAGCTGGAATTCTGAAATTTGGTATAGGGGCCACTGTTGGTAAATGGTTTTGACAGATGGAGGTGAATTTGGGAATGTGTACTATGATTTTTCGAAATGTACTAAATGTGTACTAAATTTGCCGTTGAATGAATGGATAGAGCTTGAATCCTGAAATTTGATATTAAGGTCACTGTTGGTTTTTTGGATGTATATATGGCGGTGACCAATTTTTATAATAAAAAAATTGAAAATGTTTAACTTTTGTTTGAACAAATTGTGCATATTGAGTACTAAAAATGATCTGGAGAAAAGAATTTGAATTTTTAAGGTGGACTTTTCACTGACCAAGTTGAGGACACTTGCTGGTCTATAAAAAATATAGTTTTAGAAAATATTAAATCTTTTATTTTTAATTCAAAAATTCTTGGAAGCGCCTTGAAATATGCTCTAAAAATGTTAAATATAAATGTTTACAGAAAAATCCCTTTCGATATGACCCTGACATGATGAGTAAACTAGCCTTAGGAGATGTCAAATAAAAACGGTAGGCGAATGGGAAAAATTGGCAACATTCGCCCGAACGGTTTTGAAATTTATTTATGATTTTTTTTATTTCAAATCATAACAGCTCTTATTGAAGACAAAACTGATAAGACAATGACAAAAATATTCGAACATGCGACATCCTCAGCAAATGAATGTTAAACAAAAAAACGCTGCACACACTTGCCATGGGCATTGAAATGGAACGGAGGTTAGACTAACTGCAATTGACAGTGCGTAAACGAAACGAAGCGTTTCAAAGTGGCAGCCAAAAAAAACGAAGCAAATAAAAAACGCCATACGCAAAAAAAATCCGTAATATAACTGCAAAGTCTTCAAAGCAATGGCAGACATGATGACAATCACGGAGGAGCTTCTCACTTCTTTTTCTTCTTTAGTTCGATGGCAAGGAGAAAATTTGCCAGCTTTTTGCTTTGGCACTTTTTTGTATGCCCCGGCATTCGCCAAGTCATTGAATATTCCATCAGCATTCCCCGCAATTGGAAATCATGCAAAAACCTGCAAAGAAAACCGAGAGACAAAACTTCGTTGACATTAGTTAAAAGGAAGGTGTCGCCACATTAACTAATTTATCCGCCTCGCTAATTGTCATTAGGTCCGAATCATGGCCAATTGCCTTTTGCTGGAATGCCAGTGCGTGCAAACACAAGTTATTGGCCATGGCCCCAACCAAGGAGTAAAAAGACTGGCAAATGTCACGTTCGACATTAAAATTATTATCTTAAGCTTTGTTTTAATCGCCCATGGATCCCTTTTCTGCAGTGTTTGGTATATTAGCATAATCATAGCTAAGGTGGCAGGTATTAGGTAATGATTGAAGAGCTTGAAAATAAAACAAAAGACTTAAGAAACGAACTTCAATCACTTATTGTTGACAAGACAGGTTTAGCAGCAGGATATGTTTGCCATTTTGGCGCCGGTGTTAGGCGACAAGGAAAAATTTTCTAATTGAACAAGGCAAGGAATATGTTGAAATGGATATGCATAATTTATAAGAAAATCAAATTGTGTAAATAATAGGAATTTCTTCAACATTGTGACCCACGACATAATACCCTGTAAAGCAGTGTGGAGTAAATGTATGTGTTGTGGCAATACTCTATGTAATGATTTTAGCGTGGCAACTCTCTCGTTCTCCCTCAGAAACAAACACAGGGTGTAACGTCCAATAATCTTATACACCCACCTTGTGGTGCCGTCCCCAAAATAACTTATAAATCTTAAGGAAACGAAGTAAATATCTCATTTGATTAATATTTAGCGCATCGTATTATTTATTTTAGACTTAGGGTACAAAAATCGTGTCCAATGCAAACAAATCTCCCACGACATAATTCCCTGTGAAAGAGCATAGAGATAATATAAGTGTTATGACAATACAATGCAATGATTTTAGCATGGTAACTCTCTCGATGTCGCTCTCAAGGAAAACGAAAAAAACACAGGGTGTATGGTATAATAAAAAAATGTGTAAAATCGTAAACACCCACTGTTTGGCAGTGAGCAATCACAATCGAATGACTATGTGAAACATTCGCTACAATTATTGTTGTTGGTGTGTTGTCTCTTTTTCAAGCCGTATTAGCAGCCAGTTCAAAGTAGAAACATGTATAGCAATACTATGGAATGGTTTTTGCATGGCAACTCTCTTGTTCTCTCTCACACTAGACGAAAAAAGTAACTACAGGGTGTATCAAATAATAAAAAATTGTTACACCCACCGTTTGCCACTGAGCAATCACAATCGAATGACTATGTGAAACATTCGCTACAATTATTGTTGTTGGTGTGTTGTCTCTTTTTCAAGCCGTATTAGCAGCCAGTTCAAAGTAGAAACATGTATAGCAATACTATGGAATGATTTTTGCATGGCAACTCTCTTGTTCTCTCTCCCACTAGACGAAAAAATAAATACAGGGTGTATCAAATAATAAACAAATGTTACACCCACCGTTTGCCACTGAGCAATCACAATGAATAAACATTAGTAAATTTTATTGTGATCATTAGCAGCAACTTGAAAGCAGAATAAGTAAAAAATGTGTTCATCAAAGTACCATGAAATAATGAAAAGAGTAAAATATGTTAACCTTGAATAATAATCCGTTTTAGTTGAAATAGAAAATAACCCATATTATCATCTAATTCGGTTGGAAATTGTGGCTGAAAAATTCAAAATACCATAAATCGGGAGGTACCGTTATATGGGGCTATACCAAAGGGTGGACCTGAATCAAACATTTTTTTTTTTTTGCAAGAAAAGAACAGACCTGCCATGAAACCCCAATGGAAAGTTTCAGCTGATTTGGTAGGCAATTGTGGTAAAATACCAAAAATCGGGAGGTACCATATATGGGGGCTATACCAGTAAGTGGACCTGAATCGAACATTTTTGCACACATTTTGCAAGGAGAGAACAGATCTTTTAAGAATTCCAAATGTCAAGTTTCAGCTGATTTGGTTGGGAATTGAGGCAGAAACCTCAAAAATATCATAAATTGGTAGGTACTAATTAGTGGACCTCAATCGAACATTTTTCGCAAGGAGAGAACAGACCTACCGGAAAAACCAATTATCAAGTTTCTGCTAATTCTTTGGCAGAAACCTTCAAAATACCGAAAATCAGGAATTAGGTTATATGGAGGCTATACGAATTAATGGACCTGCTGCGACTGTACCCAAGAACCCCAAATGTGAAGTTTCAACTAAGGAAATTGTTGGAAATTGTGGTGGTAACCTACAAAGTACCGAAAATCTGGAGGTACCGTCATACGGGCTATATATAAAAGTGGACCAATACAAGTCTTTTTTAAGCTCTAGATTAAATAATGTCATACCTAAATCGCCTTATAATTTTATTCTGGGGTCTATTTAATACCTAAATCGCCTAATAATTTTAATCAAGATGTTGCAAACGGAATGACAAATTTAATATGCTTTTCATACTCGATGCGTCTACCTGTATTCTTCTACCATGTATTTTTCTTTAAAAAAAACAAACAGCTGTTTTCAAGTCGAAAATAGACCTCTAGAACCCTAATATCTACTCATCGTTTTGTTTTGATTCTCATCTTGGTCGCTTATTTCTTTTATGCCTTGTTCTTATTCTTCCCGTTTTGTATTTATTTGTAAACAAATAAAAAATAAATAAATTAAACAATAAGGTGTTAAAATAAATAAATTAAAGAAATAAAAGGTAAACAAACCCAAACCAAACACAATCGTACACAGAACGTAGTAGGTATGGCAACATTTGTTGGCATTGACAGATGTGGAAGAATTGAAGATGACGGGTACAAGCTAAGTATCTGACCTGAATTTAGTTTGGGACGAAGTAAATTCCATTCCAAATGCCGCTTTCTAATCCTCGAAAGTCTATATCTTAAACTGTTTAAACATGGACATTCCCATTGTTGTTCCAGAATGATCCGATGCGTGATTGTCAACTCATCGGCATTTATGGAGCATACAAAAATAAGCATTGCCTGGAACCCTTTTAAAACTAATTTCTCAATATTTTAGTATTGCAGGAATGCCCTCGAAAAGAATGTGCTGCATACCGAATTGTGAGAATGGTCAAAAATTCCATTACAGCACAACATCATTGCACATTCTAAAAGATGCATGGAAGACACGGCTGCGTAATAAATACAGTCTACCCGATCAGAAACGTATGTTCATTTGTGGCAATCACTTTGCCCCCCATATGTTTATTAAAGGCGGTCGTAAGTTACGGGAACATGCCTATCCAACGTTGTTGATGCCAGAAGAGACAAATAAAAATATGGAATTTCTGGAGGAGGTTGTTATATTGGCGGGTAGGTTTATAAACAACTTTTAAATACTTGCAATAAAAGTAATTTAATTCATTATCTATTTAGATGATATCGATATGGAGGATGCCATAGAGGAAGTTGATTTCATCGATGAAGAGTCCCAAGATACCAGCACATCTGGTATTGATGTTCAAGTGGAAAAAGATGATGACACGAGAAATGAGGAAGACCGAGAAGAGACTTCGGGGAAGGAGGTGTCAGCTGAAGGCAGCGATAAAAGTTTTGAAATGGAGAATGTTATGGTATTTTCAGGAAGTATGTATTTGGGTTTTTAGCAGGAATCCTTTAAAAACACATTAAAGGGTTTACGTAGATAGACGGCATTCTAGAGGTCTTCCAGATATAAGAAACCTTTATGAGTCTTTGATATTTAGAGGGGCTTCAACGGTTGACCTTCAAACCAGTCGACCTTCAAAAGATAGGATACTTCAAAAAGGCGACCTAGAGATAGGATACCTTTTTATAGATGGAAGACCTTGGAAATATTGTCCTCTGTAGATGAAATACATTTAAAAGAACTTCTAAAGGTAGAAGACGTTTAAAGGGTTTTTTGAGGTTAGAGGACTCTTGGAAAGTCTTCTGTAGTCTTCTATGCAAAGAAGACCTTTAAAGGCTCTTATATCTACTCTTTAACGGACGTCTGTCTAGAAAAACTCTTCAAAACCCTTTAAGACGTTCCATGGATAAATGTCTTCCAAAAGGCGTTCTAAAGATTTAAAACCTTTATAGAAAGCCCTTCAAAGGACTTTCCAAATGACTTCTGTAGATAGAAAAAATCTTCTAGAGAATACGACCTTCTGTGTTTGGAAGACTCTTCCAAAGTCTTCTATAGACAGGCGACTTTCATAGGGTATTCTTTAAAGAGATAACCTTTATATTCTTTGAAGAACATCTATCTACAGAAGCCCTGTTGGTAATCTAAGAGGTCTTCGATATATAGAAGACAAAAAGTAGAGATACCTTGAAAATGTTCTTTAAAGATAGACAACTTTTCTAACGTCCTCTGTTAAACGCTAAATTTTAAAATGTCCTTCAAAAGCCCCCTTATAATATAAACCTCTAATAAATAAGATCCCATTGAACCCTTTGAAGATCAGAACACCTTATGGAAAATTAATTTATTTCTAGATGAACTTGAAATGGAGCATACAATCATCATGGTAGAAAGTATAGACCAAGATAGCGACAGTGATGCCAATACCAGTTGTGGAACACTAGAAAATAAAATTCCTCCAAAGAAATTTAAGAAGAATACATCCAACGGAAATGTTGTTCTGACATTTTCTCAAAGTAAGTAAATGGACACAATTTTATATGTATGCTTTAACTTTTCCATTATCCCCTAATACGTAGATGCTGAGGAGGAAGTTTCCCCTAATGATAAAGGGGACAGCAAAGATGTATCAAAACATAATATAAGCTCTAGTAATAATTTCCATATTAAAAATAAGGACAAATATTCTACAAATAATAAAATAGTGGGGGTACGGCCGAAATCTCCGCCACCAGATTGTGAGAAAATCGACAGCCAGGAAGTTTTCATTTATCCAGGTAAGGATTTATAATTATTATGCGTTTAAAAGCTGTTAAATGATACGAAAAATTATAGATCCCATTGTCGTCGAGGATGCCATAGCTGAAGTGGATAATGTAGAAGAACATAATGCCCCTTGCCCGAAAGATGAAATAGTGGCGAATATAAAACCTTCATTAAATAAAAACCATACATTTGAATTGAAATTCAAGAGACTGGAAAATAAAACCCCTGCAAAGAAATTCAAGAAAAACACATCCAACGGGAATGTTGTGGTATTTCCTAAAAGTAAGTAAAAACAATCCATATTTGAACTGTTCTTTAACTCCTCTAATATTTCATAATACATAGATGGAGATGAGGAAGCTGTAATTGAAACGGAAAATAGTATTAAAGTATCAAAAGAGACTTTGGGCTCTAGTAACAATTTAAATGATAAATGTAACAACAATCCCACTCCAAAGAATCCCATAGTACAGCAGAAATCACCAACATCTAACTGTGGGAAAATCGAAAACCACGAAGTGGTTTTATATGAAGGTAAGAGGAAAATGATTCGATTTGTAAAATCGTAATAGAATATATTTTAGCAAACTTTGATTATAAGCAGTTTTTTATTTAATAATGCTCTGATGAAATTATCGAATCGAAATGCTTTCCATCACATATTCGTTTTTTCATTTTTTTTATAGATGACATCGAGGATGCATTGGCTAAAATGGATGCCATGGAAGAAAGTAAGTCTCCTGTCCCTCAAGAAGAAACAGTGGCGAATGCAAAACCTCAATTAAATAACAACAGTATCTTTGCCTTAAAATTCAAACGTTTGGAAGAAGAGAATCGTGATATGCGTAAAATCATTTTACAACTGGAAACAAAAGTAAAATCTCTTGAAGCAAAAATGAATTTGCTGGAGAAGAAGGGTACCACATGCCCGAGAGAGTGTGGAAAATGTGGAGCATCCACTTTGCAAAAGGGATCACCGAAACACAAGGAAAAAAGTTAACACTTGCCACTCTTAATTCATAGAATAAAAACTCTCTGAGATTGGGTTGAAACGGATAACTTGAAACTCCAGACTATTCCTTCTGCGGATCTCATTCTGATGAATTTTAATGTTTAACTAAATAGTTATTTATCCTTAAATGTTTTCATTGTCTTTAATATTCTAAAGCGAGCACAAGAGTCAAATTTAGTGATATTTCGAATTAAACAAACGAATTTATTTTAACTAATTGATGATAATAATTCACATAACGTAGAGCCTGATTCTGTGTGACGATACGACCAAATTCAGTAGCATTTGTTTAAACATATAAAAACTAGAAATTTGTAAAACATACAAGGAATGGGTGTGTTACTTACGAGTTAATTTTCGTATCGTCATAAAGGAACAGGCCATAAATGTTTAACTCGTAAATTAAAGTTTTCCCATTGTAACACATTTTCACTTTCTATACATGTTTAAGGCGCTGTGTATGTATATACCTAAGTGTATTTTTTTAATTTTATATGTAAATAAATACATAAAATATAAGAAAATCAAAAATACCCTCAGCCAATGTTCGATTATCGGAATATGTTTTGATTTCTGTTATGATTATTCAAATTATTAACCCTCTCTGGAGTATTTCGATACATTTCATCTTCACACCCGACCTTGGGTTAATAAAAATATTGTGATGCAATTTGAAGACAACGGAAATTTACATTTTATTCAAAATTTTGGGGGAGGTACTTGAAATAATGAATAATAAGTTGACCGATATTGTCCATTTTCGAACCTGAGCTGGCACTAATGCAAATATTATTTTCTTATTCTTATTAATATTACGATGTACCAAGTTTGGATCAAATCGAATACTCCCTTCGAGAGTTATCGTGGAGACCAGCCAGCCAGAAAGAGAGATGGACGGACGGAGAGACATCGCTAGATCGACTCTAAATGTGCTGAAAGTGATTTGGCCCAAAGAGACCTAGGGTCTAGGGTTATTTCGATGAGGCACGAAATATGATGATATATACCCTCTCTGGCCAAATGGCTGAGGGTATAAAAATAATTCTTATGTTAAGTGTTACTAGTAATAAATTAGTTCTTTTGGTGAGGTTTTAGTTGTAGCGTTTTTCACGCTAATATTTTGCAATAGAAAGAAGCTTAGCTGTTGCAAACGATCCCTAAGGTCCTCATTTGATGTACTTAAAATGGAAATGCTGACATGCCAAATATCGCCTTAAGCTGTGTTATCTATAATTTGGGAGACGTTTTCTTGTGGGGAATCACAGCGGATCTACATATCTGATGATTCTGGTAATCTAGAAACACAGGCTGAAAAAATAAGCTCTTTTACCAATAAACAAGGCTTACATAGATAAACTACATATAGAATATCCAGATCATTGTGGCCTGATCTTTATAGTAACATTACATTACTGTATCATGATGACACTTAGATGTGCCTGCAGGGTTATTTTTTCTAGCGGCTATCTCTTATGACATCGAAACGCTCCCTCTAGATTTTTGAGGTTCTTCCGTATGTAGTTAATGCGTTGGATTTCATTGCTCTGGAATTTCAACTACTCTAAGTTACCCTGAGGCCTGCAAACAATGTTCCTGCATAACTACTTCTTAAGCCTTATTAAGATCTCTATCTTAAGATCTACTATAAGATCTCATCTAGGAAGTGTACAAAATAATTGGAATTTTTCCAAAAATATTTGCATTTCCACTTACCGTTCACGTAATTTTCCAGTACTAGTTCACCAAAATCACTTCCACTTTCACAACACTAAAATATTGAATTTTTCACATTTCATGGGGATATTTTTATTCCGTAAAGGACACCGTTTAATATTTTTACGTCCTTTATCTCCAAGATAGCCAAATTGGCGCTTTGTTATTCCATGAGAAGCTTTTATTCCCTGTAGACATTATTTTTTATTTTTTTCGGTCTCTTAGCTTCAATAAAGGCAAATTGGCGCGCTTTTTATTATCTTCCTTTTGATGATATACTCTAACGCTCTGACTGAGTCAACACATTCTCTCTCTCGAAATGAGAAACATTGGCAAATTGACTTATGTGTTTTTTAATATTTATTGTTTTTAATAAATTTGTTGAAATTGTACACTTTTGGCATTTTGTTAACAGAAAAGAAAATTTGGCTTTTTATTTATTGTTACAAAAAAAAACACAAATACTTTGCGTTGAGACTTATTCTCACTGGCAATGCTGTCATAATAACTGCCAATGAGACAAGAGCACACTAGCAGGGTGATTCCAAACAAACAATATAGCGCTTTGGTTTGTCTTTGAGTCAAAAATCGCCCTTACGATCCCTAACTACGCGCCCAAATAATGGCAATTGGATCAATTTTGTGAAACTTAATTTAAGAGATTTCTGATTGAAAAATAAAACAAATTAAGTGAAAATATAGAAAAAGGAGGACATTCATATAACTTTATATCAAATGGCCCAAAATAACCGAACGATATCAACGATAGCAGCATCAATTCCAAATAGCACTGTAGCAACAAGTGGACAAAATCAAACAAGCACAATCAATCCATATACAAGTCAATCGTAAGTAAAAAAAGTTGCTCTCCACCCACTTTTGAACAAATAAAAATCCACTTTTTCCTAGTTTTCGCGATCAAAAACAAATTGAAAATTTCGTACGTAACAACAAACTACTCAAGACCATAGAAGAGACCACCCAGAATTTTCTCAATACATATCGTCGATCAAAACGTCCCGAGGATGCACTGGATGCCATAATTGTTCGTCTGACGTTTGTCTATTCGGATTTCTTTGGCCATCCATTGGATATTTTGCATCTGTGCATTGAGGAACCGGTGGAATTTTATAATGCCGTCAAGTATTGTGTTTTTGGCATTGTTCGAGAAATAATCAGGGATTTTGTTACTCGAAGTGGTGATGTGGAATCAAGTCTGAAGTTTATTGATATCGATCAAGTACATGTGCTGCTAAGATTTTTGGGGTTACCACTGCAACCGGATTTGTGCTTTGAGCCATATTTGAATATCTATCGTACGGGATTGTCTTTGCTGATTGGTATACTGTCGGCCAAAACGGAATCGGAGAAAATAATGTAAGTTTGAAGAAGATTTTTTCTTAATGTAAAGGAACTGTTCATTCATAGGAATTTTGTTCGAGCTTAGTTTGGTTTTAGGTTTTGAATATTACATTACTCCTATTATGGGAGTTTAGGAAGTGTATTCATTTTTTCTTTGATTCTTTACAGAATCCAATCTGTTTGGTATTGCTCATCGGGTTGTACTAGCAACAAGGTTAAATCAAATGCAGCCGAGGGTAAGCTTACTGATATATGTTCCAAAAATATTTAATATTATATATTTTTTACCTCTCCAGCACCCTTGTGTACCAATTGCAATCGTCCCATGAGTGAATATTCCAAGCTACGACACACTCAAGAATATTGTTTGATACGCATACTACCGGCCGCAAGTGTTGAAACACCTCGGAAATTAAATCAAACATTTCGTGCCCTTACCGTACACGTTCCAGATCACGTACACGATATACCTCTTTTACTTGGAAATCGCTACATTATAACTGGTTATTATAATTACTCCGAACAGTCGCAAGAGTTTCAAGCATGGAACCTAACAACAATATAAGTACAGATTTTGCATCATTGCGGGATATTTCCGCATCACAAATGAATGCTCTACTCAATATTGATAGTCCACCCGAAACCCCATTGCAACCAACACAAATGCAGCTGAGTAATAACTCACAAATAGAATCATTTTCATGTAAGGCCACAGCTGGAGGTGGAATTCTGCAGCAAAGTTTTGGTGTGTCGGCATTTTCATGTCAATCATCCGCCGATGAAATTGGGCAAGAAAATGATGTGGATTGTAGCATATTACATTTTAATAATCAACCACTACGTGATTCACAACTTAATTCCCAATTTGATCTGTCCATATTCAATCAAGGCCATAATCATAATAATCCCTTATATTCCCAAACCTGGTCATTATCTTCGGGCTCGGTCAAAGAAATTCCAATAAGTCCCAAAAATCAAACTGTTTTGGAATCTGAAGTATTTAATGTGGCACCACAACCTCCAGATGATGATGATATAGAAAATCAATTATCATCGGATATTTTGAATACTCAAGAAATACAGAATTTAGATTTAGAACAACTTATCACTGAAGTACCACCGCCAAAGTCTCCTAAAAGAAGTCTTAATGAAAATGTATTCCAAACCCCAAATAATAGAAATCATGAAACAATGGATTCCGTTATTATCACATCCCCAGAAATAGATCACATAACCCTAGAGGATTCTGAACTAATGGATATTCTGCATGAAGTTGAATTGCAAGAGAAAACATTTTGTACAAATCAAGCGATAAGTTCTCAAGGACACAATGAACCAATTGAAAACAATTCGAATCGATCATCAAAAGGAGATGTAAATGTTCAAAGCAATAAAACAGTGGAAGCATCCACATGTCGTAAAGAAATAGAACCATTAACTTTTTCACAAAAACCTAAGACAAATCCAAAGACAACAAAGGGCCCTTTGGAATTTTCAACCCATGAGAAAATTGATTATGATATTGAAAAACCACCTGAAGATTTTAATTTTGCTGAGCCCCCAAGTTTTGATATTTTCAAGAAACCATATGATGTGCCGAGTAAGAGAACTAAAGAGAATTCAAAACTTCCAGATGTAATAAATTTCGATGATAATGAAATGGATGTTTTCGATGACATTGATTTCGACCAACTAAATGCCTTGGAGCGGGCATATGCAAACAAAAGAGAACGACAGGTGAGTCCAACAATGACGTTCAACAGTATCCCAGCAAAATTTAATGGAGCTGGTTCTAGATTGAGTTCTGATACAGTAGTGAAAAACCGTTTCTATCTTCTAAATTTGAACCAATTCCATGAATGCTAAACTCACTTTCAGGAAGAGTAATCTTTGGATTTTTATTCAAAAAAATATTTAAGTATAGTAAAATATTTGAGAACCTGTATCGATGATTGAAAAACATAATTCGCATCTAAAATTTTGCTCGGCATTTATCTGATTATACTGTCAAGCTTCATACTGACATCGCGGAGGATTAAATCCTTTTTCAATAATTTTTATTCTAAAGCTTTATTTATTCATCCCTCCCACTTTATATATGCCTATTCACTTGCCATCTATCAATCTATTTTTAATTTTTTTAATTAAATCTTGTTATTCATTTTCAGTGTCAAACCCAGCTCGAGCTAAACTCCGTGCGGCCCAGTGTAACTGAAAAGTTGGTACCATCATGTCCAGCGCCTCAGCTTAAGCCTCTGATACCAACGCAAACTGAAAGTAAACATCCGATGGACTATCTGCAATTAAACTACAGTAAAACAAGTTCAGTGCAGAGTAGTCCAGAACCAACAATTCCACAAAACTTGATTAATGCTCCTGAAAACCAAACAACCTCAAATCGACAAGGAAATGAAACAATAAATAATAAATCAAATCAGCTAACCAAGTCAAATTTGAGCAAAGAGAAAACAAAGAGTCCAGAAAAAACACCACATCACAATGTATCCAGGATGGAATCAGCAACCAAAACAGATTCCAGTAAAGCCACTTCCTCATTCTTATCATCACGTTTGAGAATTAATAATTCAACAGCAGATGCCACAATGATGCCCGTCTCAGTCAAACAGTTGTATGATGTCATCAAGGAACAGTATTCGGATTTTGCATTTATTTATGCCTTGAGTGCCCAGCTGTGTCAAGACCGAGTGCCCATGGATTGTTTTGTTACGCTGAAAATGGGTTTACTTCTTAGTTTGGCTTCCATTGGGGTAGGGCATATGTTTTCATAAACAAATTTTAAATATTAATATATTTCCCAATTTTATAGTTAAATCCCGATATACCACCCATACCCATTATAGCAATTGGCAATGATACGTATATGACCAATTATCTGATGACAACGGTGGGACAAATGGCCACACGTTTTATTGGCCCAACAGAAGATACAAAACCCCCTTCGAGTAATGGTTATCGTAATCATCAATGGATTGAAGCTGATCCATTAATTTTAGCTCAAGGTGGCATCTATTATGTTGGTGATTGGTCACGTCTGAAGTTGTTGAGAGCTGAAAAGCTTTACAAAGATATTGAATCATCTACGGTGACAATCAACAATAGTAGCCATCAATATCCCTTGCAGGCAGCTGTATGGGCTCATTGGCGTTTATTTGCATTTAACTCCAAGGATCAACAGATGTTTAATAAATTTATGAAGTAAGTGTAGAAGAACAACATTCATCGAAATATTTTGAAGTAAATGAGAATTTTAAATTTAAATGAGACATAAGAAGCAAAGGTCATATAAGATCGGAACAAGAACTACATAAATGTCCCCACTATAAATTTTGCTCTAAGCCAATGAACCCCGTGTTTTAAATGCCTTCTATTTGATTATTTTCTCATCCTGTCTTTTAACTTCTATATTTCATTTCAGAATATTCGGCATACCCATATACGTGGCCGATGACAATCACGAAACCCTGATAAATTACACCTTAGAGCAAGCCTCGGTTCGTGTATTCGAATCAACAATAGATCATTTATCGATAAGTCCAAAGGATATGACTGATTTTGTGGTGAATATCTCACAGCGTAATGTCGATCATACACCAGAAGCATCGGCTTTATTACAGAAATATTTTGTAGCCACACGTACAGCAAGACCGGGTATTTAAATATTTAAATACAATCTTTACAGTTATTTATTAATGTATTTTTTATCCCTTAATTTAGATTGTCTTACCAAACAGGGTCTCATCATTTTAAAACAATTCTCGGAATCCTTTGCCAAACTATGTTTACGTCATGAAGTTTTGCCCATTGATGTTCTGTCATCGATTATCTTATGTGAACATTCGATGGGCCATATATTTGGGACCGGCGAAAATCCACCACCACAATTTGGGGCTGTGCCCTTTGTAACGGTGGTGGATGAATATGTTGCCCATTTTCAACAATGGCTTGAAGATTATATTGAAAAATATTCCAAAGATTAAAAGCTAAGGTGAGGTTCTTTATACAAAAATAGGGGAATATTTTTAATGCGATATAGTATTTTTTCAGAAATCTTATAAAACAAGTTTAATGTGGCCCATTACTAACTCTGGTAATATTTCTACATCAAAGACCAAAGTGGGTGTTTAATTTAGCTCAAATACCACAAGCTGTGACCATTAAAAGGGCTGGACGGTTATATTGAAAAATATTCCAGAGACTAAAATCTCAAAGTAAGTTTTTTTCTAAAATGACGCGTACATTTTTAATTGAATTTAATTTTTTTTTTCAGAAATACTATATAAAATATATAATGATGCTCATTAATAACCCTGTAAATATTTCTACTTCCAAGTTTACGATTAGTGTATAATTAAGCTTAAATAATTTAGCGTATTAATGAAAAATAAATCAAATATTAGAGTCCGAAAGTCCATCATCACAATTTGGGCCGGCCCAAATTCAGCAATGGCTTAAAAATTATATTGAAAATATTCCAAAGGGTAAAATCTAAGGTGAGATTTTTTATAAAAATGGCTATGGTATTTTATTTAATATGATTTAATTTCCTTTTAGAAATCTAACAAAACTAATATAATAAGGCCCATTACTAATACTGTAAATATCTCCAAATCAAATAGTGCTTAATTTAGCTCAAATAATTTAGTGAATTAATAGAAATGAAATGAAATAATAAAACCAATTGAAACAAACAAGCCAATTCAAGAAACTTCAACAATCAACATCACCGAAAGCAAGATTCCAGTGAATTATTGCAATTATTGCTGGTGAGTACTGAATTTTTTATTTCATTGAATTTTGTTATATAGTACTAGCAAAAGGAGGAAGCACCTCAGGGAAAAGTACATCTTAAAATTTTAGATTCGTTACAAAAGTTTGTGTGAGGCCTTTTTTAGTACTAAAAATGCACAATTTGTTCAGTTTGACATTTTTTTAAACAAAACTTCATTCATCATGTTAAACTTTCAGATTGTTAAGATTTTATATATTATTCAAGTTTTACCTTTTTCGGAAAAAATTAGAGAAAGATGTTCAAAAAAGCCTTAAAATCATTCATTTTGTATTTAGCGAGAAGTAAAACCATTATACAATAGACCCACATCCAATTATTCTGTCCAAAACTATTTCAACGTCTCCATACAAGATGAGAAAAAAAACTGCAACAAAGTCAAAAAAATTTTTAACATTTTTTTAAATGTCGGAAATAGCATAAAATTTTAGAATAAGTTTAGATTTGTTCGAATTGGTCACCTTTGGCACGAATTATGGCCTTCAAACAGCCAATGAAACTGTCACACGCTGCCTAATGTTGCACTGCAGTATTTTGGCCCATTCCCGGCGAATCGCTTGCTTGAGGTGATCGACACTTTGGTATTTTTTAGTGCCAACCTTGCTTTCCAAAATATTCCAGACACAATAGTCCAACGGATTGGTAGCCGGAGATATTGGTGGCCATTGTGCGCTGGAAATGAAGGGAGGAACCTAATTTTGTAACCATTCCTTGGTGGCGCTTGCTGAGTGCGACAGCAGGAGTGCTGAGTCCTGTTGGAATGTCCAAGGTCAGCGGCCAAGATGTTTGTGTGCCCAAGGCTTTAATAAACTATCCAGAATATTTTCGCGATAATATTCAGCATTTATTCTGATGCCACGGTCGATTAATACGAGCGGAGAGCGACCATCGGCTGTTATTGCGGCCCACACCATCATCATAGCCGGCGCTTGACTTCTGGTGGCCAACCGAAGATGCACATTTTCAGCTGACCTCTTTGGAAAGTAAACACGATCATTTCGTTTGTTTACAAACAGCTGGACAACGAATATTTTCTCATTGGAGAAATCCAAATTCGGCAGTTCACCTAATTCGGCCAAGCGAAGTAACTCTTTAGCTCTTTTGAGTCTATTTTCTGTCTCTTGCGGTGTAAGTTCTTGTACTTGTTGGAATTTCAATGGCTTTATCCCCAGCTCATTTTTCAATATTTGCCGAATGGAATATTGCGATATGTTCAGCACACCAGCCATTTTTCGGCCACTTTCTTTATTTTTTGAACCATTTCTGCTGATTTTGCTGTTTTCTTCCGCCAACTTCCTTGACGTCGGTCTACGCTACCATCTACCAGTATCACGGTAACGAGCGATGGTACGAGACCCAAAAGATATATTTACATTTAAATGCTGGTGTGCTCTAACGTTAGCCACTTGTGGTTTTCCGACCAAATATAAAAAATCACACTATCACACATGAGCGGCGACGCTATTACCAAGTTTCAGATTTCAAGCACTATCTATTCACCCAATACCAAATTGTAATTCCAGCTTATTTCGTTCACTCTAAACAAATTTTTTCTAAATTTTGTAAAGTTCGTACATTTAGTACACATTTCTAAAACCACCTTCATATATCAAACTTACCTTCCCACCTTGATTCTTATACCAAATTTCATGTTTTTAGCTCTATCCGTACACAATAACAAATTACACAATTTAAAAGTTTCGTACCATTTTAGTACTTTTTATAACCTTAATGTTCGAATTACCAAAAACCCCCGGGTACATCTATCCTGCACTCCCTTTCAATTTTTTGAATTCTACCTTTCCAACACAAATTATTCAATTTGTAGTACTTTACGTAACCTTTTTCACATATTGCCATTTGACAACTTTAGTACTATGTTGTAACTTTTCGTTACCTTAAAGCTCGAATTTCCAAAATCCCTTTGGTACATCTATCCTGCACTACATCAGTTACTCTTTTTTCAAATTATAAAATTATACCTCATTCCGTTTGTCCAATCCAAAGTATTCAATTTTTTGTACATTTTAGTACTTTAGTACTTTTTAGTACTTTTTTTTAAGTATGAATATCCAAGACTGACCCTCATGCAAAATTGCCCGGTTCTATATTCAGTCGTTTCATCTAGGCGTTGATCCATAAATAATTTCCACGAGAGAGAATAATTTCCCTTCCAAAGAAAACACTTGGTTCTTATAATTGAAAGTTAATAATTTATTTATTTATTTATGAGCGTTTTTGTTGTTGTTGTCGTTTTTGTTTCCACTTGTTTGGTTGTTGTTCTTCAATATAACCTTAGATTACTATAATAAAAAATATGTATTTATTTTTTGTAATTTTTAATTTTTATTTCAAAAATAAATTAAGTAAATAAAACAAAACAAGGAAATATATTTATATATAGGAAGATAGAAAAAATATTCAATATAAAATAATTAAAAATAATACATATTAAGATATGAGCGATAATAACAGAAATTGCAGTCGAATAGGATGATGACGATGATATCGAAATTTTATATTTGATATTCTTTTTATGTATATGACATTACAACTCTTTGCTTACCATATTCGACTGTTTTATAGATTTTTGTTGTTCTTGGTGTTGTTTATTTTGTGTTTTTATAAAAAAAGAAGACCAGAATAGAATACTAAATTCACATATGTATATATAAAAAATTATTCTTCAATATTAATTAACTTAAGACTAATGATATTAATACACTTAATATATCATACAAAAGAAATTCAAATACATTTTGTTGTAGTATACATATGCTTCTACATATGTGTATGTATATATTGTGATGTAAATGTTAATTTCCATTATAAATATTTAGATTAACTAAGTGGTGGTGTTTCCAATTGAGAAGACTCCAAAATAAAAAAAGGAAAACAGAAACAAATAAGCCTAAGGAAGTTGGTGAAAAAAATATATTCTTGGGAAGGATTCGAAAAAGGAAATGCTTGATTGAATAGTAGTTGTAGTATTTTAATAGTTGACGTTCGTATGTGTGTGTGTGTAGTAGTGTTTGGCTTTATATACAGGTTGAGATGAAAAAACTGCAACCAACTTCAGACTGCCATCATTTCTAAGCCACTTGTCCGATAGCTTGTTTTCAAGCGTAAAAAAGCATTTTGGTGAGAATTTTCCAGAAAAAAAGTTATTCGCGTTGGAATTCAAGCGTGATAGTGTGATTTCTTTATATTTGCCTGGAAAACCACAAGTGGCTATCGTTAGAGCACTCCAGCATTTAAATGTAAATCGGTCGTTACCGTGATACTGATAGCGTAGCCCTACGTCAAGGAAGTGGACGGAAGAAAACAGCAACATCAGCAAAAATGGTTTGAAAAGTAAAGAAACGATTCGACAGCGATCGAAACGCACGTCGCAGTGGCCGAAAAATGGCTTGTGAGCTGAACATACCGCAATGTTCCCTGCAGCGAACATTGAAAACTGAGCTCGGGGTAAAGCCATTGAAATTCCAAAAAGTGCAAGAACTTACACCGCAACAGAAAGAAAATAGGCTCAAAAGAGCTAAAGAATTGCTTCGCTTGGCCGAAAGTGGTGAACTGCCGAATTTGGTTTTCTCCGCTCCGATGAGAAAACATTCGTTGTCCAGCAATCTGTAAACAAGCAAAATGATCGTGTTTACTTGCCAAAGAGGTCAGCTGAAAATGTGCACCTTCGGTTGGCCACCAGAACTCAAGCGACGGCCATGGTGATGGTGTGGGCCGCCATAATAGCCGATGGTCGCTCTCCGCTCGTTATAATCGACCGTGGCATCTGAATAAATGGCGAAGATTGTCGCAAAAAAATTCTGGAGGGTGTACTAAAGCCTTGGGCATGCAAACATTCTAGCCGCAAACCTTGGACATTCCAACAGGACTCAGAAAAATCGCACTCAGCTCAGCACGCGCCACCCAAGAATGGTTCCAAATGAGGTTCCCTGCTTCATTTTCCAGCCCATAATGGCCACCAAAATCTCCGGATACCAATCCGTTGGACTATTGTATCTGGAGTATTTTGGAAAGCAAGGTTGGCACAAAAAAATACCAAAGTGTCGAACACCTCAAGTAAGCGCTTCTCCGGGAATGGGCCAAAATACCGCAGAGCAACATTCGGGCAGCGTGCGATGTTTCATTGGCCGTTGTAGGCCATAATTCGTGCCAAAGGTGACCAATTCGAACAAATCTAAACTTATTTTAAAATTTGATGCTATTTCCGACATTTTTTGCTTTCGTAGCAAAGGTGACCAATTCGAACAAATCTAAACTTTTTCTAAAATTTCCGACATTTTTTGCTTTCATTCCAAAAAATGTAAAAATTATGACCTTTGACTTTGTTGCAGTTTTTTTTTTATCTCACCCTGTATATGTGTGTGAATGTGTGTGTATTATATGTATGTGATGCTAAGGTGTTTGAAACATATTTGTTTTACTTTGGTATTTTTTCTTTACTTTTTTTTATTTTTTAGTAAATTGGCGGTGTATAACCTCCTTTAACTCTTTGTAATGATTGATGGAATTGTTTTCTTTTTAATTTTCATAATTGTTATATTGTTTGTTTGTTGTTCTATTGTTGATTTTGTTTTGTCATCTGGGCTAGTTTGTTTTTTCTCAATACTATTGCTATTTTGATATTAAATATTTTCTGTTTAAATACTTTTTATTCATCCATGGTTAAAGTATAACAAGCTTTGTTCTTTTCTTCTTTTTTGGTTTTGTCACATCTTTTTTTGAAACGATTTTGTTGTGGTTGTTGCCATGTGTCCTGTATTTTTGTTTTTTTTTAATTGTATCTGTGTGTGTGTTTCCTTAAGTGTTTCTTCATTTATTGTTGTAAGATTGACTTTTTTTAAAAATGATTTCTTTATAATTTGAAAATTTTCCTTATAGTCTTGGTTAAATGTTTGAAGGTATATTTTGTTTTGTTTTAATTTTATGTCGAATTTTGTGGTTTTTTAGTATTTTGTTTTATATATAATTCGAAAATGATGGTGGGGAAGGATTTTTTTAATTGTTATTTGTTAATTTTTTTCTGATATCTATTTATAAATATTTTTTTGTTTTATTTTTTTGCATTACTTTCTGTTTTGCATTAAAAAATTGTTGTTTTTTTTTTAATTTTTAAAAATTACTTTGTTTCCATTAATAAAATGTTGTTTGTCGTTTGGTAAAGAGATGAAATCAAGGAAGATTTGACAGAGATTTGAAAATTACCTTTTCGGAATTATGTCAAAAGGAACCTTATATCATTTATCCACACCCATATACTTATCTTTTTTAAATCTTACAGGAAAGTTGATTTGGTTTAGACTAAACCACGCCAAAAAAGACATGAATGATGGTATCTACATCACAAGAGGTAAACCTATCAGAGAAAATCGGGAGATTTGGGGTTTCCTTACACTTTATCATAGAGCAGCACTGACATAGCCAGAAATGCCTTTTGAAACCATCTCGGTTGGTTGGGTCAATGACAAAAATATTGATTTGATTTTAATAAATATAGAAAAAAGTTGAAATATGCAGAATCCCAAAGTCTTAAAAGTATTTTTTCTGAATTTCAATTCAGTTTTTTTTTCTAAATTTCAATTTTTTTTTTTAATTTCAATTCAGTTTTTTTTCTGAATTTAAATTCAGTTTTTTTTTCTGAATTTCAACATTGTTGGATTCAATTGCTGCAACCAGTAGTCTATCAAAATAATAAACCCAATTTAGAAGTCTAAAGTATTTCTTAAACAGCCGGCATTGAACTATGCCCCAAATTTAAATATAGCAAATTTCCGAAGCATGAAACCTATTCCTACGCCACTTGATTTAATGTCAGAAGTTTGGAAGCAAAGAAAAAAAGGAGTGACTAGTCCTCTTTTTCATTTTTATACCCTCCTCCATGGAATGAATATATATATATATGAATTTGTGTCTAGACTTATCAGTATTGAAAATTGTTTGAAGCGGTCCGAGTTTATGCATAAACCCTATGCTATTCTACCTCCCTATTTTCGTTGCATTTCCTGCTTTAATTAGGTGTAGTTCCTCTTCGTAAAAACGTTTCGGCCCTGTATTTGTCCTCTGATTTTCTATAACCTTAACAAGCTTAAACTTTTCGGTTTCTGTTTAATGTAGGTATTAGGTTAAGCTTGCATTTTAAGGTACCCTAGTGATTTTCTGTATTTTAAGCACTTTTGTCTTAATTTTCATCTGATTCAGATGTAATTTGATATTCCGGATTACCACCAACTAAAAATTCTTCTCGCAAAAATGTTTTCATATATTTACGGATTTTATTAATATAACGATATTTCCCGATTTTCGATATCTTAAAGGTCCTAGCCTCAATAATGTCATCCGCCGGATATAAGAGCCTGAAGAGGTCTTCAATGGATAAAAGTTGCTCAAGTGATCTTCATTGAATGGGTCATTATCAACACTTGCAAAAATTGCCCAAGGTAGGGTTTTGAAGATCCTAACCGAATTTTTAAAACTAATGGACAAATTTCTAGTATTTTTACTGGTTCTGACAAATGGCCTAGACAATAATTTGAGATATTTGATTTGATTTAATTCTTTTTTTTTCAATGAAGGATATATAAATTGTGGCCTAGCCTATCTTAACGCCATATTTACTTATTTTATTTTGTTATATTTTACTTGGTTTTAGATATTACAACTTCAAATTTGTTCTACCTGGAAATATCTTTTTCGACTCCATATCTTTTACCCAATATCCCACCTTAATGTTAATTTAAGAGTCAAATGTAAATCTACTTTTGTCGACATTCATGTTAAGCATTTTTGTTACATACTTTAAGGCGCTTCACACAATAATATAATAATATAATATATACTATATAATATATACTATATAATATGGAATATTATATAGTATTGTACATCATATACGCATAGAATTTCGTTTAAATTTTAAAATTCTTAAAGAGTCTTCTAAGGATGGACGATCCTTAAATGGTCTTCTAAGGATAGAAGATCTTCGAAGGGTCTTCTTAGCATGGACCACCCTCAAAGGGTCTTCTATGGATAGACGACCTCTCAATGGATAGACGACCCTTCAATGGATAGACGACCCTTCAATGGATAGATGACCCTTCAATGGATGGACGACCCTTCAATGGATAGACGACCCTTCAATGGATAGACGACCCTTCAATGAATAGATGACCCTTCAATGCATAGACGACCCTGTAATGGGTAGACGACCCTTCAAAGGATAGACGACCCTTCAAAGGATAGACGACTCTTCAAAGGATAGATGACCCTTCAAAGGATAGACGACCCTGTAATGGATAGACGACCCTTCAAAGGATATATGACCCTTCAATGGATAGACGACCCTTCAATGGATAGATGACCCTTCAATGGATAGATAACCCTTCAATGGATAGATGACCCTTCAATGGATAGATAACCCTTCAATGGATAGACGACCCTTCAATGGAGAGACGACCCTTCAATGGAGAGACGACCCTTCAATGAATAGATGACCCTTAATGCATAGACGACCCTGTAATGGGTAGACGACCCTTCAAAGGATAGACGACCCTTCAAAGGATAGACGACTCTTCAAAGGATAGATGACCCTTCAAAGGATAGACGACCCTGTAATGGATAGACGACCCTTCAAAGGATATATGACCCTTCAATGCATAGACGACCCTTCAATGGATAGATGACCCTTCAATGGATAGATAACCCTTCAATGGATAGATGACCCTTCAATGGATAGATAACCCTTCAATGGATAGACGACCCTTCAATGGAGAGACGACCCTTCAATGGAGAGACGACCCTTCAATGAATAGATGACCCTTCAATGGAGAGACGACCCTTCAATGGAGAGACGACCCTTCAATGGATAGACGACCCTTCAATGGATAGATGACCCTCGAAGGGTCGTCTAAGGATGGATGAGCCTCAAAGGGACTTCTATGGCGCTCTTCTATGGACAGAAGCTCCTCTATGGATGGAAGACATTCAAGAGGTTCTCTATGGATAGAAGAACCTCAAGAAGTCTTTTATGGATAAAAGAGCCTCAAGAGGTATTTTATGTATAAAACAACATCAAAGCGTCTTATAGGATAGAGGACTCATAAAGTGTCCTAATGCTTAGAAGCCCCTCTTTGGATAGAAGAGCCTCAAGGCGTCTTCTATGGATACAAGATCCTCGAGTGGTCTTCTATGGATAGAAGAACCTCAAAGCGTCCTCTAGGGATAGAAGATCTTTCAAGAGTCTTCAATGAATAGAAGACCCTCAAGAGGTCTTCTACAAAAATGTTAATTATAAAATGTGAATAAAGACCGACTTTACATATGACTCTAACACGATGTGGGAACTAGCCTTCAAATTTCTATTTCTTATTCTTTTGTTCAATGATTATCTATTTTTGGAAATGGTTATAGGAATTCTTGCCTCTCAGAGGCCCTTTACTTTAGAAAACAAAATCCTAATTTAAAGGACATCTCCCTCAAAATACCATCTTTGATTTCATCTCTTCGGTCTCTACCAACAAATTTCCTACCTTAATTAACATTTCTATTTGTTATACTTTTGTTTTTGCGATTTTTGGGGTTTTTATAAAAAAACATACAGGAAATCATTAATCGTTGTTTTGCCATGAAACTACTAATTGTTGCTGTTGTTTGGTGCTTTTTGTTGTTGTTGCTTGTTTTTTTGTTGTAATCAAAAATTCACTGAAAAATATTTAATTTTGTTGTGCATTTCACGGTTAAACTCCTCTCCTTTTCCGAAATGCTAACACTTCCTTTCACTCAGATGTGATGTAACTCCTTCTCCTCCTCCTCATCTTCCTTCGCCTTCGATCAAAGAAACGAAGTAACCCGATAGCAGCTATTATAGCCACCGAGCGCCACCTTGGCCACACTACTCCGTTTCGGCTGTACAACAAGACTACATTTCTAAACATCTATGACACTGTCGTTCTTTTTCATCTCCATGAGATGCGTCTGTTTCAGTTTCTCCTGCATCTGTGTCAGCATATCCTGCATGCGACGAATCTCCTCGTCCTTTTGCAGCAGCAGACGATCCGTTTCCGTGATGGCAGCTTCAAAACCATTTGTTGAACTAATCGAATCACGCTTCAATTTACCCCGTTCACGCAGGGCATGTTGCGATATCTGCGAAATACATTGAGCCCGGAAATTCTCATAGTGGACATCTTGGGTGGTGTCTTTTAAGTCTTGCATATGCGTGGAGATGAGGAAGGTGCGTAGCTTGATGAAATCACTATGTTCCGGATCCTCAACGTTGACCACACCCCAGGGATATTGGCGGCCGCGTACCTTTTTGCCCGCAATGTCCAAGATGACATTACTGCCGACCACCGCAAAGGGGATGGAAGCCTTCAGCTCCCGATCTTGCTGCTTGAAATCTTCATCCTCATCGGAATCGCATTCGGGAAACTGATACAGCTGTATGTGATTATCTTCGAGATCGCGCAGTATCCGTTCCTTTAGATTGCGTACCTCGGTTTTGGTTAAACAATCGGCTTTGCCAATGACCAGCACAATGTTGACTTTGCGATGCAAGCGTCGCAGCAGATCCAAATCCATTTGACGTAAACTGGGGAAGGTTGAAGGGAATTATTAAAATGATATTGTATTTTTAGAACGGTGAGATTGAAACTTACCTATGACCCCATGGAGGTACAAAATATAAACAGCAATGGACCCGATTATCCTGAATGTTGCGTCGATTCAAACCACTTTCATCGGTGAAATATTGACGGAACTGGAAGGAGAAAAAATATATGGATAAAATTATTAAAGGAAAGATCATAGGCAATGGACCCTTAAAGGGTCTTATATTGACGAAAACCCCCTATTGATAGACGACACTTAAAGGTTTATGGATAGAGGACCCTCAAAAGGGTCTTTTATGGATAGAGGACCCTCAAAAGGGGCTTTTATGGATAGACGACCCTCAAAAGGGTCTTCTATGGATGGACTACCCTCGAATGGACTTCTATGGATGGACTACCCTCAAAGGGTCTTCTAAGGATAGGCGACCCTGAGAAGGGTCTTCTATGGATAGACGACCCTTGAAGGGTCTTCTATGGATAGACGAGCCTTGAAGGGTCTTCTATGGATAGACGAGCCTTAAAGGGTCATCTATGGATAGACGAGCCTTGAAGGGTCTTCTATGGGTAGACGAGCCTTGAAGGGTCTTCTATGGATAGACGACCCTTGAAGGGTTTTCTATGGATAGACGACACTTAAAGGGTCTTCTATGGATAGACGACCCTTGAAGAGTCTTCTATGGATAGACGACCCTTGAAGGGTCTTCTATGGATAGAAGACCCTTATAAGTCTCTGAGGACTCTCCTTTCAGTTACCTGGGTGTATTACTGAGGACACACTCCTCAGCTACTGAGGACATACTCTTCAGCTACTGAGGACACACTCCTCAGCTACTGAGGACATACTCTTCAGCTACTGAGGACACTCTCCTCCGCTACTGAGGACACTCTCCTCCGCTACTGAGGACACTCTCCTCCGCTACTGAGGACACACTCCTCCACTACTGAGGACACTCTCCTCAGCTACTCAGGACACTCTCCTCAGCTACTCAGGACACGCTCCTCAGCTACTGAGGACACACTCCTCAGCTACTGAGGACACACTTCTCAGCTACTGAGGACACATACTCTTCAGCTACTGAGGACACTCTCCTCCGCTACTGAGGATACTCTCCTCAGCTACTGAGGACACTCTCCTCAGCTACTGAGGACACTCTCCTCAGCTACTGAGGACACTCTCCTCAGCTACTGAGGACACACTCCACAGCTACTGAGGACACACTCCTCAGCTACTGAGGACACACTATTCAGCTATTGAGGACACACTCCTCAGCTACTGAGGACTCTTCCCTCAGTCTCTGAGGACTCTCTCCTCAGTTACTGAGGACTCTCTCCGCAGTCTCTGAGGACTCTCTCCGCTGTCTCTGAGGACTCTCTTCTCAGTTACTGAGGACTCTCTTCTCAGTTACTGAGGACTCTCTCCTCAGTCACTGAGGACTCTCTCCTCAGTCACTGAGGACTCTCTCCTCAGTTACTGATGACTCTCTTCTCAGTTACTGAAGATTCTCTCCTCAGTTACTGAGGACTCTCTCCTCAGTTACTGAGTACTCTCTCCTCAGTTACTGACGACTCTCTCCTCAGTTACTGACGACTCTCTCCTCAGTTACTGACGACTCTCTCCTCAGTTACTGACGACTCTCTCCTCAATTAATGAGGACTTTTTTTCTCTATCGAATTCTTTTCTCTCTCGACAACATTTGAAGCTGTTACTTTTTCCTTACCTGTTCATCGATGTAGGCCGTGCACACCCTCCAGCTGTCTTCACAATTCACCGAATCGCCAAAACCGGGTGTATCTACTACCGTTAGCCGCAAACGTACCCCTCTCTCCTCGATGTCCATGGTTTTCTTTTCGATGCGTGTCGTCTTCTCAATGCGTTCCTCGACGGGTGGTATAACCCGATTCTTGTACATATCACCCAAGAAGAGACTATTGATCAGGGTCGATTTGCCCAAACCCGACTCTCCTACAACCATGAGGGTAAATTCAAAACCACGCTTTACCGATTTACGATGGACCTGTTCCGGCAGCGTGGCAAAACCTATATAGTCACGATCCTTGTCGAAAGATGGTGTTTTAGCTGGAATGAAAAAGAGAAGAAGGATTTATGAGATTAGTTAGTTTTTTATGTTTATGTTAGGGACAGGTGAAATTTCTGGATTTTAATTAAATTTTAGAATTATGAGTCTCTTCAAAATATTTTTCAAATATTTGATTTAACTCAAAAAATTCGAAATTTGACAAGAAATCGATTTCGAGTGGTGTTTTTGGATCGCATTCTCTTTTGCATCGTCATTAACAGGCTTCATTCTTATATAAATTTTCTTTGGAAATTTTTAGATTGATAGAAGTCTTCTAACTCCGCTCACTCCCCTTCACGGAAATGTCTTCTAACTCCGCTTGAATTTAATTGCCTGAACCTTCCTCTTGGCAATGAAAGTTTGACTTGTATCCCTGCCCTTGAGCTATTGAAAGCTTGAAATAAAAATCCTTTTTATTAATAAGTTATCCCTAATGACTCTTCTCCCCCTGCTCCCACATAACTCGAACATTTACCAATCCCCTAATTACCCCCTTAAAAGAAGCCCCCTTATCAAATTCCGACTGAATGTAAACAAAGGAAATAAAACAAAAGAAAGGGGCGCAGATTTATTGTTCCAAATGGTAAATACATAATTATAAACGAATTCTAATGGATTCCAGATAAACACAACAAAAACAACAAACAGGAGAGGGGTAGGAGGAATGCAAACAGTTTGAATGTCAGACAGCTAGACAGACGGATGTGCCACAACATGTGTTCAAAATCTCTTCGACATGCCAGCATCAATTGTTTTCTTTTGGTTAATGGTTCCCAGGTTGACTGTAGAAGGAGCGCATTGCATGCCACTAAACAATTTCTCGCTGACATCGAATGCTGCACACATACTTGGGAAAACGGTGGCACGTGCTAACAGGGCAAAGCATGTTGGCTAGCTACTGGGTGCAGAGATGTTTGGCTGCATGGCACACCTCCAGTCAGAAGTGTTGAAAGGCTCCTTGAAAGTCGAAGAAGAACAACACACCCTTATGATGGCCCAACCAGTGATGAGTGGTATGTGTTTGAATTGAGTTTACGACAAAAGGCTTTAGATGTTGGAAATGGGGTGTACAGATTTGTGGGACAAGTGTAAATGAAATGCATGGAAGTCCTTCTAGGACTTTCTTAGCTAGAAGATGCTCTAGAAGTCTTCTAGGGCCAAAAATCCTTCTAGGGATCTTTTCAGGCCAGAAGAGCTTCTATGGATCTTCTAAGACCAGAAGAGTTTTTAAGGGTCTACTCGGAACTAAATACCATCTAAGGGTCTACTATAACCAGGAGATCATTTAAGGGTCATTCATGACCAGAAAACCTTTTAAGGGTCTTCCGAGACCAGAAAAGCTTCTTAGGGGGTTCTAGTATCACAATACCTTATTTGGATTCTCTAGGACCAGAAGACCTTCATGGGGTCTTCTAGAACCAGAAGATCTTCGAAGAGTCTTCGGGGACAAGAAGGCCATTAAAGGGTCATCTGGGGTCATCCTTCTAAGGGTCTCTATTGTCAAAAGTCCTTCTAAGGGTATTCTATGGTCAACAGGCCTTCTAGGTATCTTCTAGAAGCAGAAAACTTAGTAAGGGTCTTCTAGGATTGGAAGACCTGACTGGGATCTTCTGAGAAATGAAGATTTTCTATGGGTCTTCTATGACCAAAAGACCATTTAAGGGTCTTCTAGGACCCAAAGCCCTTTTAAGGGTCTTCTAGGCCCAGAAAACCTTCTTAGGGTCTTCTGTCTCAGAAGACCTCATAAGGGTCTCCAAGGACAAGAAGGCCTTTAAGGGTCTATTGTCAAAACTTCTTCTGGATCCAGAAAACCTAGTAAGGGTCTTCTGGGAAAAGAAGACCCTCTAAGGGTTTTCGCGAAACACAGAATCTTCTAGGACCTGAAGGGTATTCTTGATCAGAAGACTTTCTTAGGGGTTTCTAGGACCCAAATATATTTTGAGCACCTTCTAAGGGTCTTCTAGAACCAGAAGATAATCTAAAGATCTTCTATTAGTAGAAGACATTCTAAGGATCTTCCATGACAAGAAGACTTCACACAAACCTTCTGGGATCAGAAGACCTCATCAGGGTTTTCTAGGACCAGAAGACCAATGGGTCATCTAGGATAAGAAGACCTTCTAAAGGGTCTTCTATATTTAAAAGTCCTTCTAGGTGTCTTCTGGGACCAGAAAACTTCTTGAAATCTGGGGAAATAAGACCTTCTAAGAGTCTTCGGATACCGCAGGTCCTTTTAAGGGTCTTTTATGGCCAGAACACTTGCTAAGGATATTCTAAAATCAAAAGACATTCCAAGGGTATCTTCTTGAACCAAGGGTCTTTTCTAGAACCAAGGGTCTCTTCTAGAACCAAATGACCTTCTAAGGGTCTTCCATGACCAGAAAATCTCATACGTATCTTCCATACGTATCTTCTTAGTGTCTTCTTGGACCAGACAAGCAGACCTATCTTTTAGAACCAGAAACATAGTATGGGTCTTGGGGTCCAAGAAGACTCTCAAGAAGGTCATCCTCTATGAGTCTTCTAGGAGTCTTCTAGTCTTCTTCTAAGAGTCTTCTAGGACCAGAAGTCCTTCTAAGAGTTTTTTGTGACTAGAAAGCCTTCTAAGTGTATATGATTGGAAGCACTTAAGAGGATTTTCTAGGACCTTCAAAGAATGT